TTGAAATTTACGGGGGCCTACTTTCAATGTAAATTGTGCCTCCTTCTTTATACAAAAATCCAGTTCCAAAGTCAAAATTTTGTCATATTATGGCCGTGTTCGTTTTTGCCATAATTTTCGTCGATTTGCTCCGAAACTTTGATAGGCACGTAACTGGATCAGACAGTTTCAATTTACAGATCACGTGCCTGTCAAAATTTCGGAGCAAATCGACGAAAAAGATGACAAAAACGAATACGGCGTATGTGTAAGAAGTCGAGTTTTTGTCATTTTGCTGTCTGATTTTCTGATTTTTTCCCTCTAATTTTTCTTGGGGGTTTTTTAAAATCTTTCGCCCCTTTTGACTTTCCGCCCCTGGGCGATCGCCCAATTCCGCCTTATGGTTAATCCGGCCCTGTTCTTAACTCACTTGTTTTCTAAAGGGCGAGTGTGATAAAATGTCTTATGAAACGAATATTTTATACTATTTTTTCTATTTTGGTATTGTTTAATTTAAAAAAACAAATTTTTCTTGGAAATTTTATTCTCATATTTCCTGATTTCATATTTTTAGGTTGGTCCCATTACATGCCAAATATAGAAATAATGGCGATTTTCATTTGTCAATCAGTGCGCACTGAGTGTATACGCATCTTTTTCTAAAAGCATGTAACATGTAAGGATAAGGATACATTTTTTTTGCACTGGTTCGACAAATGGAAACCGCTATCAATCTTCTATAAAATCGGGAATGACAGTTCGATGGCCATCAGTTCGCCAGTGTTACCAACTTCCGATAGGTAAAAAAGGAGTGTCACAAAGAGCTTCTTTTCGAAACTACTTTTAGTGTCGAAAAGACTTCGATATGACACCAAAATAGAAAAAAATATTCTGAGTTTCTGTTAATTCATTTTGTACCATTAATACTTTTCGAGCTTCAATATTTGTAACTTCAGAACAAATTTTATTATCAATCTTAGTTACTGAAGCTTCAAGTTTTTGTATGTGATCTTGAGTTGATTCATTTCTTCTTGAGAAAAATATTGATTGTTGTTGTAAATTTACTCTGGTTATTGTATTATCTGACATAAAGTGTATCAATTTGATTAATGAAAGTTTCTAAACACGTTGGCTTTCCATCAAATGTTTTCAAAAGAGTTACGGTAGATTTTAATGCTTCAGCAGCCATTGTACTGTTATTTTTAAAATTTGTGGTCCTAGAAAATCGTTCAAATCACTAGTTTGATTTAAATTTAATCTAAAGTTATTTAAAATATCTTCTGGTTCACTTGAAAGTTCACTTCCTAAATCTCTAACTAAAGTGTGTCTTGAAATTTCTGAATAAAAATCAGCTATTTCTAAGTCTCTAAATAAAGGGTTGTTTGTTGATATTTCTGAATAAAGTTCAGCTAATTTGTTAGTCGATTTGACTATTATTTCCTGAATTATTCCTTGTAATTCTAGGATAAGTAATATCAGTTAATATTTCGTTGAACACTATCCGATCGGAGTCACAAACTAGAACTTAATTTTCCGAAATTTCGACACAAAAAAGGATCGCTTTGCACCGCCGGAAAGGATCCTACCGACTGCGCCAATTACGTATATTTACTTTTATGCAACTTCTGTTTTTAAAAAGTTTTATTTCAATTAAACATGAAATTACATAGATGTTTCTACAACAAAGCTGCCTTAAAGACTAAATTCTATAATACTGCAAGCCCGTATTTATATTACAATAAATGATGAATAGGCAAAAGCTTGCTAAAATTCCTTATTTAAATGATACGTCATCAGAAGTGGCCATATAATTCTAGTTTTGTCAAGATTTTTGTGTTATTATCTCAAGTAAAATTTATCCAGGAAAAGTAGTTCCACTTATCTACGAACCCCCTCACGTGAAAATTGGTGTCAGAGGGGTGATTAAGAAAATTTTCGTCTATGGTGAAAACGAGGCAATCGAGAATCGACGGCCGAAATGGTAGATCAAATTTAATGGGTTTATTGAAACTTGCGACGAGAAAATACAGTTGTTATTAGAATGACGAACACAATAATTTAAATATGTTTTTGGAAAAAAATTTGGTTGTGTTCAGCAGATCGAGACCAATTCACCCAACTGAGACAAATGCCGACGAAGACATGTGACATTACCAAAGACTTCGACAAAAAAAAAAAAAAATGTGGACAAGGAATTAGAAATGGTACGTGGCTGACTAGATAATGGATAAGGACCGGCAAGAAATTTCAAGTTTTGGTCCAAGGGTGAACGGGTACTGGGGGGTTTATTTGAAATGTGCAATTGAAATTCGTTTCAGTAAATCCCAAATTTTAGCAGTAGAATTCAAAAAAATGCACGTTGCTTATTTGAAACTTTCGTCGACGCATTTCGCTAAATTCGTCGACGGAAGATTGCATTTGACATACGTCACCTCTAAAGCGCGTGCATTTCCAAATTGCACGCGAACTGTGAAACATTTTAGTTAAGTTGACAGAGAAAATTCTTGGCGACATGGAAATCGAAAATATTGTTAATTTAAATGAAATTGCGGCTCTATGATGGGCCGAATTGTATAACGATAACCGCGAAGGCTTCAGAAAGCCAAAAATAGATGCATTACCAATGCTTGAAGACGGGGAATTTAAATTAAAAAAAATATTTAATTTTATTTATTTTCAATTTATCAAAAATTTCCCCACAAAAGGGCCAGATGTTTGTTCAAAAATTCGACTAAGAGGACTTTTCGTTTTTTGGTACCAAATCCGGACCTTTTCTTATTGGAACTTGTCATCCTTATTGCGGTATTGCCTTATTAATAAAGGAGCTGGCAGGTTTTTCGGTAAACGGTATTTATCAAAATTTGAATCAATAGATTATGATTGTAAGTTACCTGGACACCAAAATTGACCGTCTGCCGTTTCAAGGTGGCAGCTTTAAGAAGCGGTTAAATTTTAAAAAGGGATGAATTTTCATTTTGTTAAACGATATTTATTACGACCGAAATTTTCGGAAACAAATGAACAGTTTGAGGACTTATCAAAATTACACAGGCAGACGATTTGTTTGACAGCATAACTTCAGCAGACGCCTATCAAATTTGTAATTGTTAAGTTTTAGTGCACGACATTTATCAATTTTTTTTTTGCAAATCGATTCCTTTACTAACTTACTCTAAGAAAAAATATCGGCAGACGAAAAAGACGATAGCGTTTTTTTGGCAGACGCTGGCATAAAGTCGAATTATGGTAAACAATATTGATAATACCGGGTCTTCGAAAAAAAAAACAATCAAAGATTGCTATGGTTTTTTAAACGTATGTCTTAGCAATATTTTTTTTTCAATTTTGTCATTGAACTTTAATGGACCATACAAGATCGACAAGATGATCAACTTTCAGTGGAAGCCAAACCAAACATCGTTCACGTAGAAAGGCAAGCCCTATGCAGAGGCAAGATTAAACCGAGTAGGAGAAGCTGTTCGGAACTAACAGCTTCAAGGAAGGGGAAAGTGTTGTGAAATTAGTGTGTGAGATAACAGATAGCATTCAATCCCGTATGTCGTACGTATCGATGGTTCCTATATGTTCTGTGACTGGACTGTTCGAGAAGTTTGGCCTTGAAGGAATAAGGGTACGTGCACAACGGAGCTCTGGTACTTATAGCCTGGATGATAGATGGAAGCTATCATCGATGCTTAAAATTATATCATTAGTTTGAATGTGAGCGTGCACATCAGAGCAGTGAGTACCTATAGCTGGGATGATCGCTTATAGCATACTGGAATGAATTTTACCATTCTTCATGCGAGCATGCCTAGTCGTCGTCTTGTCTTCAATTTTACTTAAAATGTATTGGAAAGTAGATGAGTAGATAAAAATGATCATCACCATCAAGCTATTCCTTCAACTCCTGATAGAAGTGATGATAATCTCCCATTTCTATTCATTTTTGATTAATTGAGTGAGTATGGTATGTTCTTGAGGGTTAACGCCACGAAACATACCAATTTGTAGCGGAGGAACATAAATAATCGTCATCACTGTCCGACATCGCGATCAGAAATGCGAGATGAAATTGTTTAAAAGCTATAAATCCAGGTTAGTATCACAGCTCCGTTGTGCAAACCTATAAGCCCTCATTATGTCAGCTTTGATCTGTCATCCAGGCTACAAACACAAGTTTGTATCAAAGCTCCGTTGTGCACGTACCCTAATATAGCCGGCGTTTACCTAAGTTTTTTAGTAGGGTATTCTCAAGAAAATTTGAGGCTTGAAATTCAGATTCAGTAGTTTTGTGTGTTCTAGTTGGGCTAGTGTTGTCGTGATTTTTGTGTTATTGTCTTCGATAAAATTTGTTTGGAAAAGTATTCTTACTTGTCTACGAACCCGCTCACGTAGCAATATTTAAGAAGGATGCGTAACTCAGAATTTTAAAGTCATTAGTTTTTAAATGGCTACGGTTTATGAGCTATCGAATAATTGCATCCTTTGGGTATAGCGAGCCACTGGCGTGTCGCAAGATCAATCAATAGATGTTCTGCCTAAAATATTTGAACTTTACCATTTGAGGTAGAGAAAAAACCGCTAGAAGAACTTGGATATTATATTTTGCAGGCAGCAAAGAAAATTGCCGGTAACGCAGATACCATCACAGGTAGACAAAGTAAGTAAGAGCTGAATATGAAGGGGAGGATGGACTCTTGTGAACATCAGAAAACTTCCGCTGATGAGCCTAGAGGGACAAAATTTCTCAGGGAATACAAGGTTGGTTCAGGCTAAATGAGAATAAGCGAAACATCACACGCGCTAAATAATATACCTTCCAATGACTATGCTAGTGAAATGTTTAGAGTATAGCCTTGATGGTATATAGGGAAATGTCCCTCCTTCAAGGCTGAAAGCAAACGTTGTTTATTTTAGAGTAAAACCGTCATTTGAGAAACTTTGATAAATTGCACCGCGAGTCTAGCATTATTCAAAACATTATTTTGAAAAGCCTCTAATGTGCTTCCAATGTGCAACTATTCGTTTTTCGATTTATTCTACCATAAAAATGTATAATAAATAAATATGTATAAACAGAATAAAACGCACTTTTACCTCTAACTCGACAAACTCCCTGTCAGTTGTCTTCTCTAGACATCGTAATAGATGATGATGCTGCAATTCAAAAATATCTTCTTCCCTATAATTATCATCTAGTTCAATACCGGACTCCTGGGCTGCGAGCCGTGCTTCAGCAGCCTTCTTTTTGCTGACAAAGGCTGCGCCGGAGGAAGCTTTGGCGATGCGTATACGAGCTAGTCTCGCTTTCTGAAAGTGAAGCATAGTACTTAGTGCATGTTTGATTATTTTTTAAAAAAAATTACAAAATTTACTATCCGACTTACTCTTTGTGCTTTTCGTTTATCGGCCCTTTGATTTTGATGGTATATTCTACTGAAATTTGATACTATAACTGGTACTGGAAGAGCGATTACCAGTACACCGCTCAACGAACACACACCACCAACTATTTTGCCTGCTATTGTCGCGGGTACCATATCACCATACCTGAAATAAATAAACATACAATTTTTAGAATGCTTTCGAAACTGTCAGATCGCAATGAGCTCATAAGGTTGCGTCTTGGGCTCTGGTTTTGATAAAAATTAAAATCGGATTATCAGATGCGTCACTCACACTGTCGTTATTTTACATGGCTTCATCCTATCAGTAACCTTTTTAATTTATCGATTGATACGTTGAAATCTCAAATATTGAACCTATTTTATAAGGAAAATGTATTTTGGAAACAAAATGAGAACTCCGTCAAAGTTGAGTAAAGTGTTTCAGTAACGACGCCATTAAATGATTATTTGTTTTCATTTCCAGAATGTGACAGTTTCACATGCCTAGGATGTTACCTTTAGAGTTGGGTAAATAGGAAAAACTCCCAGATCGGTAGTAATTAATTTTAATTGCATTTCCATCAGAAGACATACCTTTATTTCCCTCTTTTCACAGCTCAAAAATCACGGTTTCCTTATTGACTTTATTAGCTTTCACCAAATTTTAATTTAAACTAATTTATTTTTCAAGTTTTGTTTTCTGCCATTCTACCTACATGCAAAACATTTAAATTGATAAAATTATTTCGATAACTATAATTAGATTTCCTCTCTAACCACACGATTGCTCGTTATTTCATTATTTCTATTATTTAGTCATAGCTATGCCTACAACAGTCTTTCCTTGAAGGCTTTTCTCATATATTTTCATTCTATGGTTTCATCATATCGTTTTTTTTTTATAGACGTAGCTCTTTGAGATTGGATTAATCGCTTTAGGTACCACCCTGCTGTTAAAAAAATTATAGAAAATTTCAAGAACCTCGGGTCCGTCAACATATGTATGTAAGACAAGCTGCATTAAAGTAAGGAGTATTCAAATCAACAATTCAATGAATATTACTAAAACATGAATTTCGTCGACACGCACTGTCCAATACTTAAAAGAAACTGATTTTCCAAGACGCGTGGCATTCTGTGATTTTATTATAACTTGGACGTGAAGGAACAGTTTTTTTTTTGGCAATATCATTTGGACCGACGAAGCTGAATTTAGGAAAAATCGTGCCTTCAATCGACTCATTATTGGAGACACACATGCGTTTTGGGAGCAAAGTTTCCAAGAATCCTAGCATTTTAATATTAATTGTGCAATAAATGATAGCGTCGTGGCAATACATTTTTATCAATAAAATTAAAATGGTAAGTTTTTGGTAGATATTAAGTGTGCTTATTAACTTCCTTATAGGTTAAGGCTAATTGAACATTTTAAACTAGCCCCCCATTTAGACAATTTGCCACTCGCTGTTTTAATAGAAACCTCTATTACCAGCATGATGGCGCACCTCCACATGGAGGTTAACTCATCAATAATTATTTACAAAATGTTTTTGATGATGATCGATCGATAGCCGACAACGGTCCTTTCCTTTGGCCACTCCGCTCCCCAGATGTTTCAGTGCTCGATTGTTTCATTTGAGGTAGGTGGTATACCTCTCAAGATCAACTGTCAACGACACCACGTGACTATTGTGAATCTACGTTAGGGAGGGTTTACACAAAGAACAGTTAAGTTAAGCAAGGATAATTAACCCTAGCTTAATAATACTATTTATGATAGCCTATACAAGTTATTACTCAGCTCTTGCTTTATATAAGTGGCAGTTGAAGTAAATACCTAAGACAACCCCCAAAACATTATTTAAAAATAATTTTAATAGAAAATTGCTAGGAAATGGATACCTGGAAAAGGTCTTCTAAATTATTATTCTGAGTACTTCAATTAAATTCGTAATGAGTTTCCCACTTAGCCAGAATCCTGATATTATTATACGTGGTGGTTGAAATGAACTAATCTACATAATAAGATAATCGTGATTCGCGTATAAACTGGGAATACTAAACTGTTACATTTATGAACGTGTTTACGATTGTCAGAACACTTTTAGGCTAAATGTTGGATTATTATCGCCGTTCTATGGTATTCTCTTGAAGCCTCCTCTGACGGTATTTAGATATTTTATTTGACCCCTGGTTTGATCATAAAATAAGTCCTTTCTAACAGGTTTGCTTGGCTTTATTATTGATGTTACATCTTCTAATGAACCAATATATATGGAGATGGGAATTCTATTTTAAAAGTGCAACAATCTAGGTATATATAGAACTGTCTTTCCGCTGTCAATAAACAGCCGCCGTTTAACTCGTTGTGCTCCAGAATCCATTATATCGATATAATGCCTGGAGTGAAACCACTGCATATACAGGGTAAGCTTAACCTTCCTCAGTGCCTTATAGTGTGTATAAAAGTTTAAAAAAATTGAAATAGTAAAATTTTGAAGTCTGAATAGTCTGATCGAGCTAAAGTTTTACAAAATAGGTAGAGTGGAAATTAATTTCACTTGCACCGACCATGGATTTTAATTTTAATTTTCACCAAAATGGCTCAACAATTCAGGAGAAAAAGTACCTAACCTAATGTTTTTGTCTATCTACAAGATCGGTCCGTTTAATGGTAAAATTCGAAAGTTTGTTTGTTGTTGTTTATTTTTTTTATGTTTGAGTGTGGGCGTCGAAATAAATCACATTTTGTTAGTGTACGGCCACACAGAAAGCGATTCAAGCGTTATTCAAATGCGTTTTGGCGTCTACTTCATATGCTTTTTATGCGTTCGAAGATTTTCTTGCGATTTGTGTCCAAAGAAGAAAAGAAGCTGCGTGTTGCGTGTTTGCACTATGCAGTTTCTTCAAATATGTAGACGAGTGATAATAAGGATGTACGAAAGATATGACGTACCGAGAACATAAATCTTGAATTAGATTATGGTCTGGTCCATGAACCAAGAGAGAACCACAAAGGGTGAATTTCATACTTTTTTCTCCAGTTGTAGCAACTTCCTGATGAATTTTTTGAGTACTATAGAATGACCATTGAAACCTTTGACTTAAATATTGAATAGACATTTCAAATACCTAAATGAAAGAAAACTAGGTATAAGTGTACGGCCACATAGAACGCGTTCAAAGCGGCATAAACGCGTTTGGCGACTAAAGCGTTTGGAACGTCTTTTGCGAGTAGAATTAAAATAATGTAATATATAGCGAGAGAAGCGCAAAATGCAAAAAGCGTCTTGTCGGGCCACTCGCTATATATTACATTATTTTAATTCTAGTTGCAAAAGACGTTCCAAACACTTTAATCGCCAAGCACGTTTATGCCGCTTTGAACGCGTTCTGTGTGGCCGTACACTAAATCGTCAAAGAACGCACGCTAAACGCGGTCAAAAAACAAACTGATTTGTTTTCATTTGTGATATAAATTCTTTTTCGTCTTTCGCTTAAGAAGCGCAAAACGCAAGAAGCGTCTTGTCGGGCCACTTGCTATGTATCACATTATTTTAATTTTAGTAGCAAAAGACGTTCCAAACACTTTAGTCGCCAAGCGCGTCTATGCCGCTTCAAACGCGTTCTGTGTAGCCGTACACTTAGGAGTGTAAAACCATTCAAGTTGACGTTATTTATGTTTGCTTGGCGACGTGTTTTAATTTACCGTTTTTTTTTGCAAGGATGATATTTCCTCCGAACATTCTCTTATACCGACTGATTACTAAATGAAGCATGTAACCAAGGATATTACACACTACACAGGATGGTCTATCCCCATAAGAACGTGTAGTTCAAATCTCAAGCCCCTACCATGCCAAAGTATCCGTGATGACGTGGCCAGCATGTCGTTTCTCGTCTTGACGTAGGGTGTTTGAACCACACGCTATGATTCCGGTGACTTTCCGGATACAATCACATTCTAATTCGAAGTCTGGAGTCCGACCAAAGTACCTACTTCAGAGACCCTGCTCGGTTATCGTCCTTTGATTCCGTTCTACGAACTGAAGAAGCGGCAAGATAACGACTTATTCCGAATAACGTAGTTTGGTTGAGAAGATGGAGAAAATGGAATCTGAGAGTACTGCACAGGATAGTCTCCTAGACGAACAGTTGGTTGGAAGTGCTGCCCTGGACGTCTTACATTTTTGAAGCGAATCAGGAACGCACAATATCAAGGACAATTCCAGGAAAGCCAAACGAAGGACTTCACGAGAAATTGATGGCTCAGGAGGTAATATGGAACCCGTAAAACTGAAATAAATGCTATTAAAGAAGTCAGATGTAAAGGTGGGATCATAGGATTCAAAAAGATAATGCAGAAGAATCACGCTAGTCCCCAAGAAATGGAAATTGTCGGTGTGCCTTCCTGTACTTAGTTGCTTTGATGAGCTCTTCAAAATTAATTCGCTTTCATGAGGCTAGGTATTGGTAAGAAGAGGAATCGTTATTTATAAACCCACAATCCTTATTTTTTCTGACAGAATTTTCAGCTCTTTGGGGTTGCTGTCATTTTTGGATTTTCTTCCGGTCTGATCGGAGATATCATAGCTTCTCCTACGGGTAGTGGACAAAGTAGCAAGAAGCTACCCACCTTTTAATTTGGATTGAAGGTTTCGAGTTGTGGGCCATGGAGGCCCAGCTCTTGAGGCCCAGCTCTTAAGCTAAATTATAGCCTTACAAATTTGCCTCGAGCTTGACCAGTTGTCCATTGGTTGTAAGCGATTCTGCTGATACGCTAGGATATTTTTATCAAAAATTTTTAGTCCCGAATACATGTGATCCTCTTTTGTAGGTTCGTTTTTGCCGGTGTTTTAATAGAAGTCCTCCTATGAGGTCCGAAGTGTCCTTATTGGAAGTCGGAGAGCTATTTAAAAAAAAAAATTATGCATAATTAATTAATTCTCTAGATTAGTTCACTGGATTTAAACCCGAAAAATTAAGGTTTTAACTTTTTCAGAAATTTCAACGTCAAAAATATATTGCAGCTCGAGCTGAATTTTGACACGAACTAATTTATAGGGACTTAGGTTCGACTCACATACCGAGTCAGGTACCGACTTATGAACCAACTTGAGAAACCACTTTGGGCACCTACTTGAATACTCGCTAGCACAAGAT